AGTGATGGAATGATTGAGGGTTTCGCTCTAGCCTCTTTCCCTCAGTTTTTCCTTTTCCTGCCCAGCTCCGTCTGCTTCCCGCTTCACCCTCCAACTCAGCATGAGTGTATGTGTGTGTGTATGTTGTTGTGTCTGTGTGATAACCTTTTGGTGTGCCCTCTGTTGAATTGCGAGTTTCCAGTTGAAATTGGAAGAGAATGGGCACGAGGTAGAGGAAGGCAGCTGCAACTCCAGGCCAGGGGTTGTTAAGTCTCTAGAGTTCTCTCCAGACTGTTCCGTGGCTGGCGGTACAGTAAATGATCGAAGGATTGAACTAATTGAAAAACTAACCAACCACAAGGGTTCTCAAATTGCGGAGAATAATGTGTATAATTTTAAAACTATATATAAAATTTGTTTCTAGAAATATATTAAATAAAACCTTTGCAGTGTATTTTAATTTAAGTCAGAAGCTTGTAATACTGCGAAGGAGTGATTTCCAACCCTATAAACCATATACATATATTTTTGATCAGCATGAACAGCCGAATCGATCTAACCAAGTCCATTTAAAAAATACATTTTCAAAAAATTTGCAAAATTTTAAAATTTTATAAGGGGTGACATCATTAATATTTTTAAAAATTGATAACAATTTTTAATTTTCTAAATTTTTTAATTAAGTATGCAGAATTGTTAATCTTATAAAAACTAACATAAAAACTCTTCCCGAAGTAAAATTAATGAGTTTTGGCTTAGTAATGACTTTTTAATTTCTGATTTATCAAATAAATTAAATATAAACTCAAAGTATCTACGCATATATTGAATTTTACTTATTCAAAAAACTAAAACCCATAATCTTTTTCGATAGATTACTGTATTTATTGCAGTAGTTCTTCCTGCGTTGCCTACTTTAATTTTAATTCTAGAATAGCAAAACTGTTTTGCATTGCATTTGCCAACGGAAAGCGAACTTCCTGGCTCTAATTAGTTTGCAGCCTGGCTTTCCTACGGTGTTGCCAAGTCATTTCCATTTTTCACACTTCCTCCCCCCTCGTTCTAAAGGGGAACGACAACGAGAAGGAAAAGCTACACGGAGCGAGTGAAGGGTTAATAAAAAACCCAGAGCCCTAATAAATCAACCGGCTTTCAATGCGGCGCTCAGAATGTATAGTCCAAGGCCTGGCCAAAAAATGCACATCAAGGCAGGCAGGCAGATTTAAGACTACCTCTCTACTACGCCTTCTTTTTTACTTTAATTTTTATTTGTTTTTTTGCCCCCTCTCTTTTGGAAAAAAATTCTTGAAAAAATATGCCGAAATAAAAATGCATTGAACAGGCGAACAAAATTTGCAGCAAGCAAGTAGTAAGCAAGCTCGAGGGATTACGGGGAAAGTGCAAAATTTGTCAGTGAAACTTCGACAAGGCCTAGAGAGTCGTCCCACCTCCTCCTGTTTTTTACCCCCAGTGCACTGGGAGGGGGCCTGCCTGCCTGTCTCAGTTGCTCAGTTGCAGCTGCATATTGACCTTTTTAAGTTGTGCAACGAACCAAGGAGCAGAAGGCGGCACAGTTGGTAGAGGGGTATTTTTTGGGTCTTTCCTCGGCAGGATTCGTCACTCACTCGCTCGCTTTGCTGGCTCACCCAATTGTGTTCAATGTTTTCCGCATTTCCTGCATTTCTTGCATCTGCTTCTTGGCCTTTGTTGCCTTTCACAGGCACTCTCTTCTTTCACCTCAGGAATCGCTCTTACGAGATGACACACACAAAAAATAATGGAGGAATATATATCCTCAGGTAGACGACGACAAAACAAATCTTCCTTGAGGTCATGAGCGCCCATTTGTAAATTACTTTATGGTGCAATAAAACTCGGTTGCCTGAGCTGAGCCCTGGACCAAATCTCAAAATCCGAGGTAGGTATGCCTTACGAAAAGGTGGTATATCCTTGCCAGTTGTAAATCGTTTTTAAATCTCTTTTCGGTTAGCGCGAAGTATGTCCATATTTCTCGGGTTATTTCATTCATTAAGAAATCAGCAAATTGCCAAAAGTTTATATTTTTAGCCTGGAAATCCATTTCATTTCTTTTGCTCTCTTTGGGAAAATGTTGCCCTTAACCAGATGTTTAAATGAGGTTTCTTTTGGGAAAATTAGTTGGTTTTGTCAAAAGTATCTTATGGATATGAGAGGTAGAAAGGTCCTTACATCTGTAAACTAAGAGTTTAGTTTTGTTTCGTATAGATATTACATTATTGTTCTCTTTGGAAGGTATTATAATTTTAGTCGGAAGCTTGTTACTATGTGACGGAGTCATTTCCGACCCAATAAATTATATATATTCCTGTTCAGAATCAACTAGACATGTTTGGTACAAACATAAAATTTTCAAAATTTCATAAGGGGTTACATCGTTAAAATTTTCAAAAATTCTTTAAAAAGAAAAAATATTTGAAAATTTCTATATTTTAATTTGAGTAAGCAGATTTATTAACCTAATAAAAACTAACAAAGCAAAGGTTTCCGAATTAAAATTTATGCATTTTTGACTTGGTTATGCAATTTTTAAACTTTGATTTATCGACAAAATGGTCATATAATATTGCTTATAAATAAATTATCATTTATTTTCATGAGACTTCTAAACGGATAATTATATTCTCTAGCACTGCTGCAATTTTCCCAATTTTCCCAATATAACTACAGCCTCCCAATGGGTGGGTACAGGGACTCCCCATGCGGGTGTCTGAAACAGGGGGTTAAATGTGTGTGTTTGTCTGTCCGTTATTTTTGGCAATTTGTGTGTCTGTGTGTTCGGGCCGTGAGAAAATCTATGCGGCATACAGCTGGGCGCTCATAACAGGCAGACAAGTGTCTCTGTGTCCTCCTCTCTCTCTTTCTCTTTCTCTCTCTCGCTTTCACTGCATACATGTGAGTGTGCATTTTTGGGGTAGGTATTTCCCAGTCCCCAACTGAAAACAAACCCCATGAAAAGCGCGTTGAACTTTGAAGTTTTGTTCTTGTTCGGCTTTTTGCCTTTTAGCTTTGCTTTGATTTTTGTCTTTTTCTTACTGTTGCCCTGTGTTGCCGCAACAAAGGTTGCCGAAACATAAGAGCGACAGAAGAGAATGGAGCGACAGAGAGAGAGCGAGTGAGAAGGCGCGAGGAAGAGCGTGTGAGAAAGCTTTTGATGTGGGAATCGGACTGTTGCTTTTTCTTTTGTTTTGCAATTTGCCCCCTCACTCACACACACACACACACATGGGCAACCTTAGTGAACAGCAAAAAACAGCAAGATAAAACGTTCATTTCGCATTGAGCACTTTTTATTTTGTTTGCTTTTCTTTGTTCCCCTTCTCATACACACACTTGGATACTATTCGCACACACTTGTGGCGCCGGAAAGTACGGGTGTTCCGTATGTGTGTGTGTGTATGTGTGGAGTTTTGCATGTTGCACTTAACAGGCGCACATGCTTCAAGAGTCCGTTACTCTTTAGGGGTTTTCCATTGAAGCTAACAAATTCCGCCAACTTTGCTGGAGGTCAGTTAATACTCTTTCCTATATAAAAGGATAATTTTAAATTGAAACTACAATTTAGTTGCCACTTAAACCACTTTTGGTTGCTGCGGCGGCTAAAACAGCAAAAAGCCAAAAGGTTCGAGGTGAACGCTTGGCCTTCAAAAAGTTTAAAACGCAAAAAAAAACCATGAAGAAGAGGCCCCAAGACGAAAACTTGGCGGACAACAACTACAACAGCGGGGAAACACATACGAGTACAAATGTCCACAGTTGGGGACAAGATAATAGCATTACAAGCAATCATCTTTAATGCTATGAGACTGTATCTAAATAAATTCTATTAAAGTCAGTGAAAATTAACTTTATCCCTTTACATTCCTTAAAATTGTTTCCCAATCTAGATACGGCAATTCCCTTGACATTTGCCTTATAATTATAGCGAAATATATTAATTATACTCTAGGGAATATGATACTCAGAGTTATGTTTACTTTTCCACAAGTTCATTAAAACAATAGAATTTAAGTGCAAATAATTTCTACTATTTCAACCCCCACTGTAGGTGGCAAAAACAATAAATAAGTTAAGTAAATTGCGCATGAATACAACAAAAGAAACTCGTCGTGTTTGAGGGGAAAGAAATTAAAGTAAATTAAGCCGCAAAACAGTTGCGAAAACGGGAATTAAAATCCAGACTGTTGTTCGTTTTCGATTTAGTATCAAACAACAGGCGATTAACAGCCGGTTTAACATTTATCATAACAGCCGCCGGGCCTCCAGCTAGCCAAGTTAATAACCCGAACTCGCAGCCGAACGAAGATGAGGAAGTACTTTCGTTCTGTGCATAGAACTTCCTAGCCCCAATCATTTATTATCGTCTGCTGTTCCGGTTGTAATTAATCATTCCGTCCATTGAGCGAAAAGCGAAACAGCACAAAAAGCAAAAAGGCGTAAAGACGATTTTCAAAGCTTAACGATCAAAAGTAAACACACAGACACACACACACACACACAGAGAGGCACTACTGGCCCCAGTGCGGCGAAGTTGAAATTCAAAATTGCACGTTAAACGCGGCGACAACGAAGCACCGAGTCAACAACAAAGCTCTGGTGTGAGCGAGAGGGGGAATCAGTCAGCAGAGGGGAGAGCGAGATGGCGAGTGGAACCAAAGTTTCGCCGCAGTGGTGGGTTTTCCGCAACGAAGTGGGAACGGTTGAGGAGTGTGGGCAGTGGAGAGTGCCGCCGAGTGGAGACTGGGGACATGGGGGAAATACTAGGAAAAGAGAACGCAAGAGCTGCTTTGTCGACGCGAAACGAACGTTAAATTTTGAATTTTGCCGATAAATAGCGCGCGCGTGTGTGTGTATGTGAGCGCACTTGAGCATACATGTGTGTGTGTGTGTGAGCGCGGCCGGCCGGCAAATTGTGTGCAAAACGTTATTAAGCTGTTGCCTGCTATATGCTGTACGATATATAATATTATACGCTACTAACTTACCGCATATTTGCTGAAGAAGCCCTCGTGTATGCCGCTCGAGTAATCCTCCAGTTCGAACATTTTCGAAAACGTTTTTGTTTTAGCATGCACTTTGTTTTGGTCGATTCCGCTTTGCGCTGCTGCTCCGTTGAACCGTTCAGCGAATCTTTGCTTCTCGGGCAAAGACAATGACAACAGCAACAAATAAACAGACACCGTTGTTTTTTCGGCACTCTGAATTTAATACGAATATTCTTTCCTTTTAATTATTTCTGGTATAATAATCCGCACATGGCGCGCTATTCAACTGTATTTATCAGGCGCGCAGTTCACTATCTTTCGGTTTCCGATTTAATTCAGGACCGCCAAATAAAAAATTACAACCCGTCAACTTCAATAGAATCGCAAAATAATTAACATTAATCTGGCGCACTTGTTTATTGCACGAACCACAAATAAACCATTAACCGGCGTATATTTTGTATTTTTCGCGTTCACGGCTTTAATTCGGAGCGAGCAGCACAGCGGTGCTTACGGGTTGAAAATTTTTGGAGATTTGGATAGAAGAGGCAGACCGCAACCAATATATAAAGGCAACCTAGAGATGGCAAAACATTCGATACAATCGATATTTGGATATTGATATATCGATGTTTTGAATTTGTATTATTTAACATTAAAACAATTAGAAAACATAAAATGAAATATAATTCTTTTTGTTTCAAACGTTAATTTTATACTCCTTAATTTCAATTAATTAGGAAAAACAAACTCATTTGATTTTTCATTCAACAATTATTATAATAATAATAGTAAAAATGTAATATATATCGATAGTGAAAACATTGATTTTTTGCCAACGCTATTACAGATTTGGGTCTTGGTTTGGAACTTGGATAGACGCCGTCGTTAAATTTAAATTCTTATATGTTTTCGGGCCGACATAATGATGTAAACGTTAGTAAAAGAAGAAACATTATTTAAATTAATTTTTTATTAGCCGTACAAGTTAGCAATTATTTAGGTCAAATTGTTCACCTTTAAGAGTTGGGCTTTTCATTGCGCGACGTTCAATTTTAAATTAAATGTTATAGATAAGCTAAATTAATACATTCCTAAATGGCCTCTATACTCAAAGTACTATATTTTGTAACTATAATTTAATGAGCCATTTAATAAGTTAATTGATTTTTACAATTAAAAAAGAGAGCAAAAAGTATGGCAGCGCCAGTTGCCATAAGAGTCTTTTAGTGGGACCAGCTGGCGAGAAAATCCGAACAATCGATAAGTCCCGCCTCTTCTGGCATTGAGCTGGCCATCCCTGGTCGAATTTTGAGCAGTTTTTGTTTACAAACTTAATTCATTTACGAAATCCAATCATCTTTGGCATGCAAAATGAGCGGCAGCTACAAGACCCCGCGGAAGCAGAACCTAAAATCAATCGAAAACCTCACAAACTCGGAGGATGAATCCGCGGATCTGAACACGGCCATTGTCGCGGATGCGGAAACCGAAACTCAGGCAAGCTCCAAGCGGGCTACTCGTCGTTCCACCCGCCGCCCGAGTCCCACGAAGAAGTACCAGGCTTATCAGCAGGAGAATGGTAGCAGGCAGCAGGAGCACGTGGTGGTAAACTATGTGGAGTGCACAGACGATGAGAGCGATGTTATGAATATTGAAGATACGCCGGAGGAGGATCAGGAGGAGGACCAAACCGAAGTGGAGAATACAGCAAGACCCACATCCAAAGATCTTAATCTCATCCAATCTGAGTACAATGTGGCCGGGAGCAGTCTGTTTGGCTTCAATACACCCAAAAAGCGGGATGCCATGGCCCTGGCCGCCCTCAATGCCACGCCTCGCACGCCCAAGACTCCGAAGACACCGCGGCTGGGCGTGAAGGCGCCGGAAACCAAGCGCAAGCGATCTGCCGCAGATCAGCCAAAGACGCCCTCTCATGTGCGCAGCCGTGTCAAGAATCGTGGGTAGTCATTAGATTCATCAAGATATTAAAGTTTCTCCAGTTAACTTACCTTTACTCTTCCAGAGATTGCCAAAATAGTGGCGGATTCCGGCGACGAGGATTTCTCCGGGGACGAAAGTGACTTCCGACCAAGTGACGAGGAATCCCTGAGCAGCAGTAGCAGCAGTGATTCTTCCTCTGAGAACGATGCCGCCGATGATGATGAGCCCAAGACGCCGTGTAAGACGCGACGTGCCATTGTGATTCCCATTCTGCCCAAAACTCCATCGGCAGCTCGACTCCGGCAAACGGCGCGGGCCAAGAAGTCCAATGAGTTTGTTCCCGAGAGCGATGGTTACTTCCATTCGCATGCCAGCACCAAGATCCTCACCTCGGATCATACGTTGGACCGCCTGAAGAATCCTCGACTGGCTGCCGATCGTCTGTTTAGCTTGCTGTCGGAAATGAAGTTGTCGGCGGAGCACGAGACGTCGATTAATGCGATTATGGAGGAGTATCGCTCGTACTTTCCCAAGTGGATGTGCATCCTCAACGAGGGATTTAATATACTGCTTTACGGACTGGGTTCGAAACGACAGTTGTTGCAGGCCTTTCATCGCGAGGTATTGGGCAAACAGACGGTTCTGGTGATAAACGGCTTCTTTCCCAGTCTGACCTTGAAGGATGTGCTGGATAGCATCACAAACGAGATCCTGGACGCAGGCATTAGTCCAGCAAATCCCCACGAGGCTGTGGATATGATCGAGGAGGAGTTTTCCCTGATACCGGAGACACATCTCTTTCTGATTGTTCACAACCTGGATGGAGCTATGCTGCGCAATGTGAAGGCTCAGGCTATTCTGTCGCGACTAGCGAGAGTGCCCAACATCCATCTGCTGGCCTCTATTGATCATATCAATACCCCATTGCGTGAGTGTTTGCAGTCTTGAATGAAGTCCTAACCATTATCCTCTTGTGTTATTGCAGTCTGGGATCAGGGGAAGCTAAGCAGCTTCAATTTTTCGTGGTGGGACTGCACCACCATGCTGCCATATACGGATGAAACCGCCTTCGAGAACTCCCTTCTGGTGCAGAACTCTGGTGAACTTGCCCTCTCCTCGATGCGCAGCGTCTTCTCCTCACTGACCACTAACTCGCGCGGCATTTACATGCTGATTGTCAAGTATCAGCTGAAGAATAAAGGTAATGCCACCTATCAGGGCATGCCATTCCGGGATCTGTACTCCAGCTGCCGTGAGGCCTTCTTGGTCAGCTCGGATCTGGCTTTGCGCGCTCAGCTAACCGAATTCCTTGATCACAAACTGGTCAAATCCAAGCGAAGCGTGGACGGCTCTGAGCAACTAACCATTCCCATTGATGGTGGCCTACTGCAGCAGTTCCTTGAGGAGCAGAAGGATAAGAAATAGAGGTCGCGCGTCGCATTAATGTTAGAACATATTAATTTATTATCTAATATCTTGTTTAAATACAATTACATTTTTTCGCTTTTTAAAAATGGTTGTGTCGTGTGTCTTGCTGCAGATTTTCATTCTCGTTTTATTCTCTTTTTTGTAATTTTTTTCTACACATTTAGATTGTTGGCATGCATAAAAAGTTGTTTGTCGGTTCACTAGATGATACACATTTTTGTAGATCGCTAGATTTTGCCTCCCCCAAATGTATTTTGCAAGTCGAGAGCAACACAAAAAAGCAAAATAACTTCCAATTAATGGAGGAGTCGAGCTCAAAAGGAAAATCTCTTGAGACGCCTGTTCTTTAGAGCTCTTTCTCCAATAGATTAAATGGCGTCAAAATAAAATAAATATCTAACAAAGCATGCCACAAAATATAGAACTCGCTTCGGACTCTCTCCCATCCATTCAAAGGCTAATATTGGTTGGTTACCTAGATTACTATACACTCATCGCACATACACTGATTTAAAGCATTTGGACTTGGTTGTAACCTTAGTAAGTTGGTTTAAAATAGAAATTAGAACTGATGCTGCGACTATGGCTAAGGCTAATTTATTTACACTTTCATTTCGGATGGCAAATCACATGCAATGTCAATCGGAAGTACACATAGAATGTATGGAAATATCGTTCTTAGTTCGCACCTATTATATGTAATTATAATTTACCCTTTCCTGAATACCTGAAGTTTTTGTTCTGTCCAAACTCCTTACACGATCTGTCGTTTTAGCATATAAAAATGTCATCGTCAGCTCTACTACACCATCTTCGGTTTATTTATTTAATAGTTAGATAAATATTGTTATCACGTTTACTTTACTCGTACTTATTTTTTCGCAATTTTCTGAATCAATCAGAGAGAAGAGAAACCATCCCCCGAGAGTCTCCCCCTTGTTGCAGAAATGAATTGATGCGATATTGTTTGTGGTTTTTTCAATTTTTATCTGCTTACTATACACAAATTGCTACTGTTTGCTTTTATTTCGACAATGTTTTGTTTGTTTTTTTTAGAGTTTTTGTACAACAAATTAATTACATTTGCGCTTAAACAAAGAGAAACAAGTTGTAGGTGTTTTAAATACTTAAAAAAAGAAAAGAGAAACAATACACGAGAAAGCCTAAGAAGTGATTTTAAAATCAACACTGAAATAAAAGTAATTTGTTTAATTTGTTAAAAATGGTTTTCTTGGATAAGGGAGCTCAGAGGAGTGTGTGCTTAAATTTGTTGTTGCTTAGGCGGTGGTAGAATTGAGAACTTTTGGTAAATAACAATTAATTTTTATACATTTAATGGGGCAGCACACTCCTCAGTGGAAACACAATAGGTAAGGTGGAAGTGGATTGGTGGGCGGGTGCAATAAAACCTTGAATGCATTGACAATTGTTCCGAGTTTTACATGTACACAATATATAAATCAACTTCATTATCATATCCGTATCATTATGCATTACTCATATACTCGTTACTCATTACTCATTACACGTTACTCGTTACTCGTTACATCGAATATACATCACAATCAAAGTGTACGCTTTGTAATTATACGCAGTAATCGGTAATCATAATCGTTATAATTATAATAATAATAATAATAATAATAGTGACGCTGCTTTCTCAGTGAATTTCTTTATTTTTTACTGTTTTCTTTTCTTTTTTGTTTGTTTTTATCTTGGTTTCATGCCTTCGTTTTATATTTTAAATTTAATTTATTTTTACTTTAAATGTTCCGTTTTTGTTTTTTATGCTCTTTTTTTGTTGGTATTCTCTTCTTATTACTTTTGTTTTTTTTTTGTTTTGTTTCGTAATTATTTTTAATTGCTGCTTTTGGACTTAAGATTAGAATTAATTAATAATTATTACTCGTAAACATATTAATCATAGGTAAATATTAAATCAACAAATAAAATACAATTAAACTCAAGTTTTGTTTTGTTTTATCAAAATGAATTAAATTACTTGAAATCGAAACAATAAACGGTACTGCTTGCTCTGATTCTCATCATCATGAACTATCTTCCTGCTGCTGATTTTGTTGCTGTTGTTGTAGTAGTTGTTGGTGTAGTCGTAGTGGTAGTTGTAGTTGTTGTTGATAAAATTTATTATTGTTGTTGTTGTTCTAGTATTGCCGTATGATGCTTTCTTGAGGTTAACCGCCAATCGATCTATCAAATATTTCACAATCATGTTGTTCTCATTTCTATAACAATTTTTGTTGAAACGATTGTTGGTATTATTGTTGGTGTTTTTGCGGTTGCGGTTGCTGTTGTTGTTGTTGTTGATTGTTGTTGGTGTACGGTTTGTTGCTGTTATTGCTGTTATTGCATTGTTGTTTCAGCTCATTTTCACGCGTTTCCTTGGTGGTCCAATTGGTGGGATTTGTTGTGTTGCGAGCGCACGAAATGCCTCCGCTATCAAATGTGAATGTGTTGTGATCATATTTTGCCAGCCGGAGGTTTCCATCACATCGGTGGCATGACTGTAGGGGGAAAAAATGTATATTTAATTTGATTTTTATCTATAAGTATAGTTTTTTATTAAGCAACTTACGTATTTATGAAATCTATCGTTTGTGCTTTCAATTGATCCGCACTGTGGAGATCAGCTAATATTAGTGTTTCGGCTGCTGTTTCTACAGAGAGATTGACGCACAGCGCCTCCTCGCACATCACTTTCAGCTTTTCGAGTGCATACTGCCAGAAAATAAATCAAATATTTAATTATTTTCTGATATTTGGAGAGAGATTTTAGTTTGAATTTTACCTTATCAGCAGCCGCTAGGAGATCATCAGCCATTTTTTCTAAATTAGGTGCTTTGCCCGTATATATGAATCGCAGCATTTCTTTAAGAACCTCATGATCCACATCGGTTATGGCGACACGATTCAGCTTTCGCTCCTCCATCTCATGCTCAAACATGGCCGCAAAGACATCGCTGCGCGCTATTATTTAGAAAATTTAATATATATTAATTAAAGTTTGAAAGTATAGGAGTATTTGTTGTAAATTCTTACCTGCCAGTATGGCCTTGTGCGCCTGGAACTCCCTACCGCCCACAGAGAGCGTGACGTCGCTAAACTTCTCATTGTCAAAGAGATTGCCCAGATCCTCGGATAGCTTGCATTCGGGCACTTTGAACTGCACGATGTTGGATTGTCCAGAGATATTGACACTGTCCGCCACAACGCTGACTTCGCAGAAAATGGTTAGCTTATCCTCCGGCAGCAGGCCATTGGCCTCGTCCAGCAGAAAGTCGCGTCGGATGAACTTCTTGAAACCCCAATCCTTGCCCTGCACAAAGCGATAAGCTCTGTAATAGAGAATATAGATTAATATAGATTCTAACAGAAATGATTGATAGGTAACTCATACCTTTGGGATTCCATGGCTTTGGTCTCCTCACGCTTGGCATTTAGTATGGAAAATTTGAACTTGGCTCTCACTTCCGATTTATTACACGACACTAACAGTAGGTATAACGATAGGTAATCCTTGCTCTCCTCATCAAGACCCTTGGGATTCACCCGTAAACACCTAAAGATAAAGATTTAGTAATTAAGTAAGTTATTTAATAGTTTATGCAATTTGTTAAACTCACCATTTCAGTTTGTCATTAGCACCGGCTGAGAATGTGGACGATTTGAGTACTTCACCCATTTCCTCCCGACAAAAACTAAAGTTATTTATGGTCCACATATAACTAAATTTAACCACTTTAACCTGTTTAGAAATAAATAAATAACAACAGAATACGTGGGTTAATGGAGTTTTGGGAAGGGGGAAAAGGATCCCTGGTAAATATTGTAACAAACTTCTCGGATTTCGACCACCTGAGCCACCATCACCTGTACCTGAGCACCTATAACTCTCTGTCTCTGAGCGGAAATGCATTTACAGGTTTACAACGTACAAAAAAATGGATGAAATCCGATCGGTTAAGGATGGCTCAGCCGGTTTGCAAATCCTTAGGAATGCAAAAACCAAATATTGGAGGATGTGCAGGAAATTTAATCCTCGCTTGGGTTGTTTTGGGATTTGGAAGGGACTCTAAGGAGACTTACCTGCGTATAGCACCAGTTCTCGGCGACTGGCGTATTAACTTCCGGCAAGGGCGGCGAGGGAACGCGGCTGACCGCCATCGTACTACTGGATGCGTGCAGGTTCGAGGTGACTCTAGCTGTTTGGCTTGCCTGACATTCGTTCACCGGCAATCTACAAAGATTAAATAATAGGAAAATTAAGGAATTAGTTAAAAATATAATAAATTTTTAAATTTATCATTAAATAAATAGTAAAAAGGCTGTAAAATTGAGCTTAAAACAAGAAAGAAAGCTAACTTCGGCACGCCGAAGTTTATATACCCTTGCAGATAGAACTTCTATGAATAGGAATCCATACAATGTAAATTATATATATTTATGTTAAAAAACAATGAAGTAATAGCTGCTTTCATTTCATTCACCTATACATATTATATTTGCAGTTTTACATACACAGATTTGCATTTTTCCTCTACATCAAACGATCGTTTGTATGGCACCTATAAGATATAGTCGTCCGATTTTCATAAAATTTGACACAAAATTTAAGACTAATATAAAATAGCTATACCTTAAATTTTATGAAAATCAGTTGAAAACTGAAAAAGTTATAAATTTAATTGTATTAATTTCTCGATCGTTCCTATGGGAGCTATATGATATATTAGTCCGATTTTTATAAAATTTTACACAAAATTGTAGAGTATAGTAAAATGGCTATATCTTAAATTTGATCCAATTCTATTGAAAACTGAAAAAGTTAAAAATTTTTTTGTAAAAATTTTACGATCATTCCTATGGCAGCTATATGATATAGTCGTCCGATCCGGCCCGTTCCGACATATATACGAGTGAGAGTATATAGAAGGCTAACTGCAAAGTTTCATTCAGATAGCTTAAAAACTGAGAGACTAGTTTGCGTAGAAACGGACAGACGGACAGACGGACAGAAGGACAGACGGACAGACGGACAGACGGACAGACGGACAGACGGACAGACGGACATGGCTAGATCCACTCGGCTGTTGATCCTGATCAAGAATATATATACTTTATATAGTCGGAGGTGCCTCCTTCACTGCGTTGCAAACTTCTGACTGAAATTATAATACCCTGCAAGGGTATAATGAGGAGAAAGGTGCTTTTGCACTCATATTCCCTAGAAGTAATCTTGGAGACTTATTTTATAAAATATTCTTGGGAAAAATGTAGAAAATGGCTGTGATACAATAATTTTCCTAAGGGAAAATTGCCTTGTCCAGAAAATGCATTTCTATCAATAATTTTAACAGGAAAACCTAGGTTCTTATGTCTTTAAAATCATCGTAAAATATTATTAACTTATTCCTAGACAAGCACCTAAAACTCTTCAAGTTCACAGCTATTCTTTGTCAAAATTTAAAGGTTATCTTATAGATTTCTTTATTTTTTCACCTCCAAATTTAGTGCATTTAATACTTTAACATTTTAAAATGTAAATTCAAGACTTTTGTGATCACCTTGGCTCCTGTATTAGATCCATAATGCTGCGCTCGAATTCAACTTTCACAAAATTGCTATCAGAATTCGAGTGCCGGGCCAAAAGATTGAGCAGCTTCAACAGCAGAGAGTTCTCCAGCTTGCCGCCCGTTTCAAATAAATAAAACACACACAAAATATAACACACGCGCACAAAAATGTTTTTTTTTTTTTAATTAAAATTATTTAAATATTAATTTGTTAATAAAAACGTTGAACAAGACGACACGAACGACTGGACAATGTAAAGCGAAGTGCGCCAAAAAATGGAGCGTTCATAATTGCCGAAAAATAGGGAGCTAAGTCGAAGACCGATTATATATATATGTATATATTTATTTTACAGTAACTCCGAATAATCTTAGAATCACCAGAGAATGGAAAGATCAAACAGAGATAAAACCAAAGCTTTAGCTTTTGAAGCTTTTCGAACAAAGAAGTTATTCTCAAGACGTTATAAATATCACAAGAAGAGAACAACACACAACCGTTGCGCAGGAGCAGCAAAGGAAAACTGACTGATGGAAACCGGGAAAATTGGGAAAATTGGAAAAATCACGACAGGCAGAGGAGTTGAAAATCCTGCAGATGACGAGACCAAACAATGGACCCGAGGAAATGTAGCCAGGAGTGGAAAATTGACAAACAATGGGTCAGTCGGCGGCGAAGTTGAGTGTGGATGAGGATGTGGATGAATGTGGTGCCGATGCTCATCTAGGAAAAGGTGCAAAGGATGCTGGCGAGAAGAGGAGAGGAGAGAGGTGGAGAGGGAGGGAGGATGGCAGAAGGATCTTTGACGCACAATAGCAACAATAACAATCTGCCATTCTCATAAGGTCTTTTTTTTTGTTGTCTCCAGTGCGCAGATGCACATGGAAAAGACAGTAGATGACAGAGGAAGCAGCGATTTGTACACAGGGAGAAAAATATAGCAAAAATATACGACATCAAATATTTAATAATATAAGAAAATAATATACAAAAATATTTAATAAATATAATATAAACAGAAAACAGGAATGTCTATTTAAAAAATTGTATAAAACAATTTTAAGAATACGGAAAAATTATGTAAATTTTTCTAGCATTTTGGGTTCACAAATTCTCTAAAAAAAACAATTTAAATATTTGTAATTTGCTAAATTAATTAATAGATTTCGATTTTTACACAGCCAGAAAAAGTTCCCATTAAATATGTTAAAAAAAATATATAATAATCATATTATAATGCTTTTGAGTTTAGAAATTTTGTAAAGAAGGTTTTGCAAACATGTAAATGAATTTATAAATATTTATCTAGCATTTGTAGTTAACAAATGTTCTTTAACAATTTTTTAATATATTTAAATTGTTAAATAAATAAGTATATATATTTCTTTTAGAACTTTAGGCAATTAACCTCCTAGATCAAGTCTATAAAAATATTTAATATGTCAAATAAATTTATATAAATATTTCTTTTAACATTTTTTATGCTTTTAATCCTTTCTTTAATGATTCAAATTGGTTTCAAAGGCCACACATATATATTCTAAATTCAATCTTAAACCGATCTCTTATGACTTTTCCTGTCAGTGCACAATTAAGCGTAGGAAATGTTGGAAAAATCTGAGCAAGGCTGCTCTGCTGCCTGCCTCTCAGCTCAGCTCAGCTCAGCAAGGTTGAGATTTTCAAGGTGCAAAACCGTTTTCCGCTTCCCATTTTCAGCGTTTTTAAGTTCTCATTTCTCACTTCTCTGTTTTCACTACTCAGTTCAGTAAATTTTGCAGCCTCAGCTGAGCTCGGTTCTCTCTCTTTCTGGCCATTTTGATGGCCATCATCAAAATCCAGCTGAAGGACCTTCAATGGGCCCCGCACGCGTGCGTGTGTCTGTGTGTGTGTTAGCCATCAAAAGGTTGACGCAGCTCGTCAAGGTGAACAAACCGTAGTAAGTCCATAAGCCATAAGCCGTAAACCGAAACACCGAAAAACCAAGCTGCGCAACGTCGAGCCGAGACGAGAGCTGTGCTGAGCCGCTTTATTCAATTTTTAGTGAGTGTGCCTTAATGTTAATGACATTGATTTGGCATTGAGCACCACCACCACCTCACCACCTCTCCCTTGCCCTCACCCTCTGTCTCGTGCTTGAAGCCAAAACCAAGGGCCAGTGCCAAAAAAAAAATTGAGTTTGTTTTGTTATGACATTGAAAATCATTTGTTTGGCGCCTCAAACCAGGGGAAAAAATCACAGTAGGAGGAGACAGAGAACAGTAGAAGAAGGAGAATAGGATAAGGAGAATTGTAGGAGGAGAAAAGGAGAAGGAGAGAGAAAAACATAACAAGGCTAAACTTGGAAAGCCCAAAACTCAGTCAGAACTTTGTAATTGAATTAGCAAAGGTAAAGGTGACTCTGACTCAACAAAAAGTCACAGTAAGAGCGGGATATAATCTTTTTTCAGCATAAAATATAAGACAAAATCCAAAAATTCTCTTGATAAACAATAAATTATACTAGGAAGTAAAAAACTGCATTTAAATTATACAACAAAGCATAAAAAATATATAAAGAAATATTTTAATCAATAAACCATAAATTAATCTAAGAAGTAAAATTCATGAGGTAAAAGTATAATAAAAGTATTCAAGAAAGCATAAAAATACTAATTTAAAAGAAATATTTCCCTTAACCAACCATATATTATTCTAAGAAGTAAAAATCGTATATAAAAGTATTTAAGAAAGCCTTGAAATAGTTATTTATATACACTCTGCAGAAATAAAACACCTTTTCCCCCTATTCATATCAAACATTGCCCTGAAAGTTTATATAAATATTAAGTAAACACAGACTCAGCTTTGTCTAGACTATAGAGTCTAGACTGTATGCCAATTCCCATTGAATTATAATACAGAAACCCACCTATGACTTTACCTCTCCTATATTTTATTAAGGTCTATGGACCCTTCTCTTTATATTTAAAGAGGTTCGCTGGTAAATAAATTTGAATTGTTTGGCAAACACACCGCGGCATTAATGCCCTTTTTTTGCTTAGCCATTAGTTTTGCTTACTTAGCCACCGGGAGACCAACATTAGTTCTGCTGCAGAACAGGGAACCCACACAGAGTCTATCGAAGAAGAATGAGGATGAGAGTCCACAAAGACAGCTGGAATGCGACGAATCCAGTTGGTCACGGATCAAGGAATTCCATATAGTACACACACTGCACCTTATTTTTGAGAAAAGATCCAGGCTATATAAGTTGGTTATATCTGAAAATTCTTTTTAAAGATTGATTTTACATCAAAAAAGAAGGATTACTTCTCGCTGACATAGCTAGATCGATTCGTCTTGCTGAGCAAGAATATATATAGAATAATCTTGGATCTTTAAAATGTAGTTTTAAACTTTTACTAAATAAAACCCACTCTTCTAAGACTTATTCTGATCATAAGAAAAGTGAAATAAGATCAGTGATTAACTTGATATTATCATTATCTTATTAAAACACTGTCCTTATTTTGTTCTGTGTACTGTCAGCCTCTCCCTGGGGGATCCTTTCCATGCGTTGTGCGTGGGCCTTGGGATCGCAGCACAAAGACTGGGAATTTATGACAAATCCTGGGAGGAGCACAAATCTCTCCTTTTGGAAGGGAGTAAAACTTGCAGCACGCG